TGATTGCAGTAAGTTTTTGTAGTTGTATAATGAATATTTATTATTGGTGTACTTTTAGCATCATTTTTACCTGCATTGGAGCCAGCACCAGCTGTCAGTGAAAAATCAAATGAAGGTAAATGATGATATAAATATTGTGCATAGTAAAGTCTATTACATGTAGCATCTGAAGTATTTCGAGAGAAAGTTTTTACGTTAAGCTCCATCATTGGTTCTGGCACTAGCTCTATTTTCAATAGAATCAGTGATGAGTTTTTCAGTGCAGGACTCATCAGTCAATCAATACTAGATGACATCAATACAGTACCTAATTACTGCAGTTATCAAAGGAGCAGTAATTTAATGCATGAGGTGTACAAGAGTTTGCTAAACAAAGAAACATCTAATGACGACCTCATTGCAGTGTGTGACATACTTACCAAGCAAGAAGATAAACAATTAGTTCAGATTGGTGAAGATATGAAGAAAAATGCACCTCATGCTGTTTGAAGCTAATTCTTATAACATTAATAAGTTAACAATTAAGACATGTTTGTTAAATTACAGTTGCTAAAGACACATAGAAAATTATGTTACTAATATTACATGTACAAGAGCATTGAAATATCCAAATAGATTCTGCAAATATTGCCAGCAAAAGTATACAACCACTTTGACCACCAGTTATACCTAAAAGTATAAGGATTACAGCAACTAAAGTACTGCAATTTTTTTCTTTACTTCATTGATTCCTCCACTTGTATCTCCAATTTCAATGTACTTACATCTATCAGAAAGTAATACCAATGTGTACTAATGGTAGTACTAATGTGGCCAACATTTAGGCAAGTATAAAAATAAGAACTGAAACAATTTTGATTGGAATCAGTTCAAACTTTTTCACATTATGTATATGTATCAGGAAAAAGTATACTAACTGAATATATTCATTATCTGTAAATTGTTTCCTCATTTTAAAAGATGATGCAACAAACCACAAAAAGTACTATAATTTACAGCTTTAAAAATAAAATGAAAAAATATTATACAAGACTACTATATTATAGTACCACTAATCTACTTTATAAAATTTTAATAATAGCTGCCAAGACTAATGCACCCATACTTTTACAATTCTATTGTATTGTCATCATCATCAGACTCTTCATTTTCAGCTCTTTCCTTTTCTACGACTGCAATTTCAAATTCTTTGGCAAGCTCATCCAAAGCAAATATTTGTATCCTTTTGTTTCCAGAATCCACAACTACCAGTTCCTTTTCAAGACAAATGGCAATTCCAGTTGGTTGGTTAAACATTCCTGGTTCATCACCAAATTGACCAAATCTTAAAATATGTTGTCCTTCCTTTGAAAAGACAGAAATGCAATGTTGCTTTCTTTCAGACACTGCAATGTTGTGATTTGGTAGGATTACAACTCGAAATGGGTCGAAAAGGACACCCTTTTTCCTGGCATCAACATCAATATCCCAAAGAGGAGAGCCACTTGTATTTATTTTGATGAGATTTCTGTCTTGTGAAGTTGCAATTACTAGATAGCCATCCTTGTAAGCAATGCAACAAGGTGTACCCGTAACATCTAGCTTATTCACAAACTGACCGTTTTGTTTGAAGCAGGAGATGAATGTTTCTCCATGTTTCTTTGTCACTGCATAGATAAAAGTTTCCTCTCCTCTTATCGGTTTAGTACTGGTGATAGATATGCAATAATTATCTTTCAAGAACTGCCTTGGATTTTTTGCTTTATTTGGTTTGGTTTCATCGAATTCCAAGTGGTGTAAACCCTTTCCACTTGCAACTATAATTCTTGAGTTCTTTTGGTCATAGGCAACAGCTTCCAACTGACATCTCATCTCTTTTGCCAATTTGTGCGGTTTTTCATCAGCTGTCACAAGTATCTGTATGCAAAAGTTTATTTGATCAGTAAAAATCATGCTTCCAAGGGGGCCTATACAGACATCATTTAACATCACTAATTCTGATGGATTAGTTGCTGCAAGACCATTCAAAATTATGCTGGCAGGCTTTAGAAGCATCATTTTTGGATCAAAGATTTGATAAGCATGCTCTTCTGGCAATAAATCATAATCATCTTGCACGTTTTCATTTGTTCTTTTAGGACGTGGCGGTAGCGGTGGAGGAAATGCTGACTGAGGAATAATAATATTATCCATGGATGTATATTCACTATCAGTGGGTGGGTCAAGTGGCATATCATATTCATCGACTTGCTCTCTAGATTTAGATTTTGAAATTTCTTCAGAATAAGACAGCAACGGTAGTGGCGGTGGTGGTTGCAATGGTGGTGCCTGTAGTTGTGGTCTTGCTATTGATGATGAAGATGGTGGTGACAGCTGCAGTCCTGAAATATTTATGTATTTTACCTTATC